CTTTCATCACTTTGTCTAGCAAAAGCAAGGCCAAACAACCAGCTTCCCTATACTTCTCAGTTTGACAGAAATGCTGAAAGGCATCAAATACACAATCACCTAGAGGCTTGTTTCTCTCAAATATTTGATCCAATGGAGGTGATATTTTATGTATTTCTATTGTCACCTCATGCCATGGATTAGCTGTTCACTCTTCCTTACTGGAATTAGAGTTATTACTGTATTTAAGTCTAGCTAGACTTGAGAGTCAATTCAGAAAACTCATCCTTAAGATTTTGTTCCTCTGTAACCACCCTTGGTACTAAATGTTTTAGGCTGGGTTCTCTAGAGGAACAAAAACAAGTGAAGCATAAATATAGAAATATATAGAGGGAGATTTATCTCAAGGAAATCACTCACACAATTGTGGAAGCTGGCAAGTTAAGTCCCAAATCTGTGGGTCAGGCATCAGGCTGGAGGCTTCTCCTGGCTCACACTGTTGCGTGGGCTGATGAACCCAAAATCTGCAGGTCATGCAGAAGGCTGCTGGATCATGGGGTTGTGGGAGCTGGTGAATCCAAAGATCTGCAGGTCAGGTGGCAGGCTACTGGCTCATGTCCCAAGAATTGGAGGTCAGAGGATGACAAGTAGGATGCAGTATCCAGAGAGAACTTTGCCAGAACATCCATATATATTGGATGAAGGTCACAGCCCCAAGGAAACTGATTGGCTTTCAACTGATTGGCTGCTCACTTCAGATCGCAAAATGGAGGATGATTATGTAATATCTGCCAAACCACTGAGAATCATATCCTAGCCAAGTTGACACATAACCTTAACCTTCACTGCTATATCATAACATTCTGAGGATGATTATATATTTTATATAACAAAATTAGTGTAGCATAGTATTATTGAATTGCTTACTGTGTAGGTCACTGTTTCATGCATATATATACATATTTCTCATCTAGTGCTCATACAATATAATCAGGTAAGATTATTATCTCCATTTTACAGAGGAAAAACTTAGATACACACAAGTTAAGTAACCTGTACAAGGATTCTCAGCTTATAAAGGGCAGAATCAGAATTTAAATTCGTGCACTATGTCTCTAGAGAGATGCTCTAACACACAGACAATTTACCACCTCTCCTGATGTGTGTAAATAGATTTTAAATGCTTAGAATATTGTCAGGCATATAGTAGATGCTCCAAAATATTGGGCACTATTACACTGGAGCTGGAGTTCCTATATTATGGTACTAATCAAGCTGTATTATAATCATCAACTTACTTGTTCTACCTTCTCTGAACTTTAAGTTCTTCCTTTAAGGCAGTAAATATCTTTTGTCTATCACAGCAACTTTAACAGGATTGGCAAGTAAAAATTGTTGGTGCCAAATATATTAACTTGGAATTGGACCACTGGGTGCAATTAAAATTAAATCCACAAGAAAGCCATGGATAAGTGAGCACAGAAAATTAGGCACAGTTTGGAAAGGGAAGTTCTAATAAGAGTCCAAATCAAGTCTGACCTAAATGATATCTCAAAAGATGGCATCATAAATGTGGTATCCTCTTTCACATATACCCATGACTAGCACCCCTGAAGGGAGAGCTTCCTCCTAAATTTATCATTGTTCCTACCAATGTTCAAGCCTTCTAAACTCTTTAATAATAGAGTTTTCAGGTTATCCAGTTAGTATTCATATGCACGGAAAGTGAATTCTTTCTCCCCAAGTCATAATCTTCTGCACTCACCTCTGCCAAAGACCACCCTGTCTCTCTGTGGCTCCCATCCTTGATATCCCTTCAGCCTCTCCAGAAGGGGACTTACAGTCATCACAGCAGACATCCCAGGGAAGAGGGCTCTACAGGGGATTCCTCCCCCGTACCTTAGTGGAAGGCATCACCTTCCTTCATGGAGTTAATTAGTAAAAGTTTCCCCACTGCATTCTCTTTTCATTATATTTCCAGATCAAAGTTGTCAATAAACATTTTTTTCCTCTGATTGTGCTCACCTTTCTGAACATCATAAGCTACTTTCTCCAGCACTATCATTATTTCAGCTGCTTGTGAGTCTACAAGAACACCATGGAAAGAACAGTTTTCTTGTGGTCCTGCCTTTCTTACACGAACACGCAGACGTAGACAGTCTTGAAGGGAAAGTACTGACACCAGAAAGATCATCTTAAAAAACTAACAGAAAATTAGAACGTTTCAGAACAAACGTCATTGGGGATTTTGTGCCAATACTGGAGAAAGCAAGGGAACAATGCCACTTTTTCTTAGCCTACCAATGTGTGCGAGTCTTTTCTACTCTGAACAACTCACATTGACCCTGCTGGCCTTTCTATTGACCAGTCAATCCCTCACCCTCTCTTCATCATTTTTTTTTTTTTTAAGAATTATTCAGTACTCCATGCTCTCAATCCACTGCCCTTTTGAAAACTCAATGTTCTTTCTTTTTTCTTTTTCCAAATCAAGTTGCTTTTATCATATTTTCTTCTCCTTAGAAATATGTATTAGGTTCTAGGATGGAAAGATGTATGTTTGTCTCTCTGGTTTTATCCAGCTTTTCTTTCTATGATTTGGGGGCTTATTTTCCTTGTTTAACTTATAATATTTTTTTTCTTAAAATTCAAAAATTCCAGCAGATTATGTTGTAAAGTTAATGATTTGGCATAGCATGAAATGCTCTCTTTTGATCTGATAACTCAAGCATTCTTTAGGTAAAGTATTTTTTCCTTTTATTTGAATTATTAATTTCACTCTGATGTTTCTTTCTTTCTAGAATTCCCTAGGACCACTTTTTTGATCTGTAGAATATAGTAACACGTTCCCTATATATATATATTTTTTCCTTTTGCATGACATCTTTGGTTCTTCATATGGGTTCTGTAAGTTCTAGGATATTTTCTCCAGGTCATCTTCTAAGTCACTAATTTCATTCTCTGTAACAGTCAATCTATTTTTCAATATCTCCATTACATTTTATATTCTGTATTTGTTTCATTTGCTGGTAATTTTTGTTAATAGAAAATACTTTCACAAATATCACTGAGAGTTTAAATTATAAATATTTAATGATTTTTTTTTTTTTCTTTTTTTAATTAGAACTAGTCTGTTTCATGACAGGGCATTTGCTTCCACTCCCCAAGTCTCTGTTTCTGTGTTCTCTCCCTCTCTCTTTAATTACAGTGATTATTCCACTAATTATTGGGTCATGCATTGACAAAGTTAATGTTCTTAAAAACATAAAGGGCAGGGAAAGACTAAAGTGATTTTTTAAAAAAGGTAGTCTTTGCATGTGTGTGTGTCTGCATATATGAATACAAAAAAACCCAAAAATAACAAAAACAAGAGAACAACGTGTTGTAGCTATAACTGCTCATGTCAAATAAGCAAGCATCTGCTATGAAATCCAATGTTAGGTATAGATGACTGCTGTTGTGCCAAAAAGTCATACTTTTCTGTTTTTGTTTGTTTGTTTTTGGCAGTTTGAGGTTACCCACATACTTCCTAACTTCTCTACTTTGTATTTCTCAGATCTACTTTGAATGCTCTTCTATGAATGCAGTCCTTGGGACAGATCCATTTTGATCTGGGAAATTCCACAGGTCCTTTGATCCATTCCTTCCATCCAGAGCTCCCAATGGACCATGGTTCTTAGCATCTACTTCTCCAAGCTTTGATTATTTTCCTATAACTTTTGTGTAGAAGCTCACCAACTTAATTCCTAGGCTCATTTCTTCTCTCTCTTTGATTAACATCTGGCAGACTAGTACTTCCCTCAGCTGGATATTATCTGTATTCATACTTGAGGAAATGCTTCAAGTCTGGGAATCTATTGAGGACCCGTCTTTTTTTTTACTTTTTTTTTAAAGGACCGGTGACATTTTGGTTTTATTTTATTTTTGTTTTTCCTTTATTCTAATGTTGCTTCTACTTTTCTGTTTAATATACATCTTTGATCATTGCAAGATGACCCAACAGACTAAAGTAGTGCTTTAGATACTTTAGCCAGACAGGGACATTATTATTTTTTCTTTTCTTAAAATGAAAAAGATATGTGATATTTCAGGATATTAAAGTAGTATAGTTACCATGAATGTGTTTGGGCAAACATATATAGTTTCTACTTTATTATCATATCTTTAACTTTTTTAGTGCTTAACCCATTGCCATTGAGTCAATTCTGACTCATAGCGACCCTTTAGGACAGGGTAGGACTGCCCCATAGGGTTTCCAAGGAGCAGCTGGTGGATTTGAACTGCTGACCTTTTGATTAGCAGCCGAGCTCTTAACCACTGTGACACCAGGGCTACTTTTTAGTGCTTAGGGCTATAAAAACTTATCTAGTTCTGACTTATTTATTTAAATAGGATTTTTGGTAGAAGGAAGTTTAAATATATGGGTTTAAATTGTTATCCTAATACAGAAGATTAAACTTGCATTTTAGAAAATTATTTTTGCTGACAATGCAGAGCATACATTTCAAACGGGACAAAAAGGAAGGCAAGAATATTGTAGCTCAAAAAAAAAAAGCAACCAAATACTCCTAAGTGTGTGTTTTTATTTTTAACATGTGACTCTTATAGCCTTCCTAAAAAACATACATAGCAAATACTACTAATCAGTGGAAAATAATATGAACAACTCACACTTATTTTGCATTTGTTCTGCTATCTACTATCTTAAGCAGTTGCATAATTTTCATAATAACCATATGCAGTCCTAATTTTAAAATATATTACTTTTGTATGTATTTTATAGATGATGAAACTAGTACATAGAAAAGTTATTAGTTATTTTTTCAAGGTTACAAAGCTAGTTTGTGGTAGCACTGAAATATGAACCTTGACCTATTCTACAGATACTATACCCTGAACCACTATATTTTATAATCTGTAGTTATTGCTAATAATTATTATTATTATAATAAACTTAATTTTCGTAAGAAGCATAACTTAATGGTTTAAACATCATATTTCTTTTATATTATTTATCTGTGTAACTCTACAAAGGTAATCCATGCTATCTTAATCGAACATGTATAAACAAAATAAATATGTACTCTTAAACACAAGAAGAACTAGAATAACAGACACAAAATATCAGTGTGACAACAAATGAGTTATATGTAAATTTTATGGTTCAGAATGGTAGGTGCCTATGAGCTAGCATTAACTTGCAGATGCATTAAACACCTTCTGAGGCCAGAAAAGCTTCTTAATTGCAATCTTCATATCCTTGTTTCTCAAGCTATAAATGATAGGGTTGAAAAAAGGAGCAAGGACTGCAAACATCAGTGCAATGGCTGTGTCCAAAATTAGTGGGAAAGTGGCAGAGAAACGCAAGTACATGAGCGACACACTGCCACAGAACATCAGAAAGACACCAAGATGGGGTGCACAGGTGGAAAAGGCCTTCTGTTGAGCCTCAGCAGAAGGAATCCCCAGAATCACAGTGATGATTCTGATATAAGAGAGAGCAATGATCAGTACTGAGAAGATGATGGCAATAGCGTGGATGACATCCTCAACCAGGATCATGGAAGTGTCTGTACAGGCCGAGCGCAGCACAGGTTCAAAGTCATAGAAGATCTGATGGATTTGATTGGGGCCAGAAGGGCAGCGTGGAAATCCATACAATCTCTGGGAGCAACACAAGAAAGGCAAAGATGCAGGAGCCTGTAGAGAGCTGAGTACACAGCCAGGAAGTCATGATGGTCGGGTAGTGGAGAGGGTTACAGATGGCAACGTATCTATCAATAGCCATGGTGGTCAACGAAATCCCTTCAGAATTTCCAAGTGAATGGAAAAAGTACATCTGCAAGAGGCAGCCAATTATGGAGATAGTCCTCTGCTCACTGATAAGGTTGGAGAGCATCTTGGGGATGGTGGCTGTGATGTACCAGATCTCCAAAAATGAGAAAATGCTGATGAAATTATACATGGGATTGTGGAGATGAGTATCCATCCTGACTGCAAAAAACACAATGAGATTCCCAATGACAATGAATATGTAGATAAAAAACAAAGGAATGAAGAAGAGGAGACTACAATCTTCAAACTGAGGAAATCCAGAGAAGAGAAATTCTGTCACTGTAGTAGTTTGATTGCTTCTCACCATAGTCTCAACAGTCTTAACTCTTATGGGTATAAAGACACTGATCTCCTCTTAGATGGCGTATAAAAAGTCAGTTTCATTGACTCATTTGAGAGTCAAATGAAGAATATGCTTTAAGCAGGTCATTTATCTCTATTTATTCATTTATTCATTAAACAGATATTCATTTAATGCCTACTATGTGCCAAGCCTTGTTGTGGGTTTATTGAAATCAGTGGTGAAGAAACATGTCTCTACTTTCATGAAGCTTATATTCTAATTAAAGAGACAAATAATAAGCAAATAAAATATTAGTAATGCCATATTTATAAACTAAAGTAGGATAATAACATACTAGTCATGATAGCCTTTTATAAAAATGTCCAAAATTATTTTGAATCACCAGATAAATTCTCTAAAAGTTCTTGGCTACAGATTAAAAAAAACAAAAACCAAACAAACCCATTGCCATAGAGTCAATTCTGACTCATAGTAACCCCATAGGACAGAACAGAACTGCCCTGCTACAGATTAGACAATCAAAACTTTCAGTTCTCTTCCCCCAACCTCAATAGTTGTTATGAGACTGCCTTTGTATCTTCTTGAATATTCCCTGTTTCAAATATTCTGCTCTTTAATCAGACCACAAAGCAGCTTTGAGTGTGGTTAGAGAAAACAGTAATATTTTTAGGCACAAATATCAAGGTAAAGCCTTTATAAAATATTCTATTTCCAGCAGCAGAAAAATTAAACTAAGAGAAATCGGCTGGCACAAAAAGAAGGAACCTGCAAAAAACTGAGGAGTAAAGACTTTGGAAGTACCAAGAAGACCCAGAAGGTAAGCTGTGAGTTCTTTCATTAGAATCTGACTGGGGAAATACTTTCATCCAGGCTTCTAAAGTATTAGTCCATGAGATATAGTTAGAAGCAGCAGAAATTCTTGATGAGTACCCAATCTTTTTATTTATATTGTTTATATCCTGACAAAGATCATCAGGGAATGAGAAGGTAAGAGTCAAAATCTGGGATTCCATCACAGTTTAGGTAGTTCTTGCTATGATGTACCCTGAAACTGGCATGAAATATGATAATGCTATGTCTAAAATCAGTGTGAGGAAACTCATCAGGTGTACTCAGGGATTATCCCCCAGGCAATTAAGAAAACTGGCTTAACAGAGATAGAAAATCAGCCCAGGAGAAATGTTTAGAACAGGAGGAAATTTTGAGAAATAAGTTCTTTTTTGGGATAATGTGGAGTCATTTAAAAATGAACTACTCATTCAACTAAATGAAAACACTTGATTTCAAAAAAGTCAACAAACTGCAAGCATCTGTTAATAAAGTTCTTAAATAATAATAATAAATTAGAACACTTGATTGTACTGTATGTCAGTAATTTTCCTGTAAGACAACAAAATATTTCCCCTAATACTATTTAAAAATTATTTATGAGCAAAGTTAATTTGTAACTCCATGGAGTTTGATTGAAGGATGTTATTTGAAATTCCAAATTAAAACAAGAGATTTGAAGTATAGACGGAGCCAATGAAAATATTTTACACATTTTGGTACTCAAAAGTGTTCTCATTTCAGTATATACCTGGAACAAGTTCTATAAGTACTTCTTTATATTGACTAAGTTTGGCAAATGTTACTTTGGTAGCTTCTGAAAAATCAAGTTCCCACAGAGAATTAAGACATGTTGATTGTTCTTATACGTGCTAATTCTTCAGATCTTCATAAAGTAGGATTATTACAAGCAGAAAAATGTTACTGCTCTACAGATATCCATGTGTCATTGATTTACTTGCTATTTACGGGATACTGGTGGTACAGTGGTTAAGAGCTCTGCCCCAAACCACAAGGTCAACAGTTCGAATCTACCAGTCGCTCCTTGGAAATCCTATGGGGCAGTTCCACTTTGTCCTATAGGGTCACTATGAGTAAGAACTGACTCGACAGCAATGGGTTTGGATTTTTTGTTTTGTTTTGTTTTATAGGTAAAATACTGAACGACACAGGAAGCATCAAAAAAAGATGGGAAAAATACACAGAGTCACTATATCAAAAAGAATTGGTTAATGTTCAGACATTTCAGGAGGTGGCATATGATCAAGAACAGATGGTATTGAAAGAAGTCCAAGCTACCCAGAAGGCATTAGCAAAAAATAAGTCTTCAGGAATTGACGGAATAGCTATTAAGGTGTTTCAACAAATGTATGCAGCTTTGCTCATTTGTCTATGCCAGGAAATTTGGAAGACAGCTACCTGGCCAACTAACTGGAAGAGATCCGTATTTATGCTCATTCCAAATAAAGGTGATCCAACACAATGTGGAAATTATCGAACAATATCATTAATATCACATGTAAGTAAAATTTTGCTGAAGATCATTCAAAAGCGGTTGCAGCAGTATATCAACAGGAACTGCCATAAATTCAAGCCTTATTCAGAAGAGGACACGGAAAGACAGATACCACTGCTGATGTTAGAGGGATCTTGGCTGAAAGCAGAGAATACCAGAAAGATGTTTACCTGTGTTTTATTGACTATGTGAAGGTATTTGACTGAGTAGATAATAACAAATTATAGGTAACATTGTGAAGAATGGGAATTCCAGAACACTTAAGTGTGTTCATGAGAAACCTGTACATAGACCAACAAGGAGTCTTTCAAAAAGAACCAGGGGATACTGCATGGTCTAAAACCAGGAAAGAAGTGCATTGATGTTGTATCCTTTCACCACACTTATTCAGTCTGTAAACTGAGCAAATACTCTGAGAAGCTGGACTATATGAAGAAGAACGGGGCATCAGGATTAGAGGAAGATTCATCAACAACCTGCAATATGCAGATGATACAATCTTGCTTGCTGAAAGTGAAGAAGATTTGAAGCACTTGCTGGTGAAGATCAAAGACTATACAGTCTTCAGTATGGATTACACCTCAACATAAAGAAAACAAAAATCCTCACAACTGGACTGATAAGCAACATCATAATAAATGGAGGAAACACTGAACTTGTCAAGGATTTCATTTTACTTGGATCCACAATCAATGCCCATGGAATTAGCAGTCAAGAAATCAAACAACGTATTTTATTGGGCAAATCTGCTGCAAGAGACCTCTTTAAAGTGTTGAAAACCAAAAATATCACTTTGAGGACTAAAGTGCAACTGACCCAAGCCATGGTATTTTCAATCACCTCATATGCATGTGAAAGCTGGACAATGAATAAGGAAGACGGAAGAATTGATGTCTTTGAATTGTGATGTTGGCAAAGAATACTGAATATACCAAGGACTGCCAGAAGAATGAACAAATCTGTCTTGGACAAAGTACAGCCATAATATTCCTTAGAAGCAAGAATGGTGAGACTTTGTCTCATGTACTTTGAACATGTTATCAGGAGAGACCAGTCCCTGGAGAAGGAGGACATCATGCTTGGTAAAGTTTAGGGTCAGTGAAAAAGAGGAAGACCTTCAACGAGATGGATTGACACAGTATCTGCAACAATGGGCTCAAGAATAGCAACGGTTGTGAGGATGACACAGGAACCGGGCAGTTTCCTTCTGTTGCACATGAGGTTGCTACGTGTCAGAACTGATTCAATGACATCTAACAACAACAAATATATATATATATATATATATATATATATGTGTGTATCCCGAGTCTCTAACTGCACTTAGATAAATGATTGTTTCAGAATTTCAGAGTGGCCTTCAACTCTTCTGCCTTATTACAAGACTACTGAAGCACTCATGTTTACTAGCTCTCTGATACTATGCAGAATAAAAATCACATTGCTAAACAAAGCTTATGAGAAAGTTTATCTATGCTGCAGCCAATTCACAATATCCTTATTATGTTAAAGATACAATTCTGAGTTTATGAAACTGGATACCAAGGAACAAGTTAGTGAGCTTCAGTTCTTTCAAGCTAGTTATTGTTGATGGAGTGACTGAGAAAAAAAAAAGATACATAAATTAATCTGAGGACATAATAGAAACAAGTCTTTGCTAAATTACAAAGTGGCTTAGCAAGAAGTAATGATTTAACTATTGGTAGTCAAGGAAAGAGTTATCAAATTTGTTGATGCAGAATGGATACTGATAAGAATAATTATTTTTGCTTTTCTCTGAGGAAAGTACTAGCTAAAGAACAGAGACTGGCCATAGAGGAGGAAAACAAAGAAATAAATCAATAAAGACAAAACAAAACAAAATAACAAGCAAACAAATATCAACCTGACATTAATTGGAGCCCAGTCTAATTTAAATACTTTTGAAGATAAAATAATTTACTTTTAGAAATCTATTAACAGAATAAATTATAGCAAATAAAAAAGGTGAAAAACCGTATTGAAAGATGAGTCTGGTTGCACTGTGTAGAGTAAATTAAAGGCAGAGAAGACCTGAAGCAGAAAAACAAGGTTAGAGGATCAAAGGTCAATATATAAAATCCAATTATATTTTTATATACTAGTAATGAGCAATTAGAAATCAAATTGAAAAATAATATCTTCACAGTAACACCAAAAAATAAGACATATTTGGATTAAATCTAAGAAAGCACATGCAGAATCTGTACGTAAAAACTATAAAACATTGATGTAAGAAATCAGAGTGTCAAATACAAAGAGCACCATGAGGGAATTTGGAAGGGTGGGGGCCTGTTCTGTATCTTGATTTTAGTGGTGGTTACATGATTCTATACATTTGTCAAAACTAATAAAACTTCACACCCACAATCATTAAATTTTACCATATGCAAATTAAAAATAATTTAAACAAATAAAAAACACACAATTAGAAACTTATGGCCAAAAGATTGGAATAGAAATAAACATATTAATTAGTTATTTAGGATGAAAAATCACAAACAGTTATAAATTGTATGTGTAACATGGAGAAGAAATCTATAAATTACAAATAATTTTTACATTGGCAGCTGAGTGAACTACGAATAATCAGACATAATGAGTGTAAATCAAATATGCTTTCAATAAACTTGGTTGTATAAAGTAGAGAAAGAGGATACTAGCTCCACGGGATGCAGAAGAAAGGATGAAGGTTTTGGTTTATGTGTTTACTTTATATTTTACCAAGTGAATATTTTTATACTCAAGAGGAAGGGCAAATACAAAGGAAAAACTCAAAACACAAAGACAGGAAAACATGTTAGGGAGATGGAGTTTATGCATGAACCAAAGTCAACTTGAAAGACAAAAGAGGATGAGACAGGAAGAGAGACGCATTAAAGTACAGCTATAAATTAAAGGAAGAATTTCTGTAGAAGAATAATGAAATGAAGGGATTTCTCAACTGAATTGCAGATGAGATTGTCTTCCGAGAGTAAGGTCAGAATTTTAAGGATAGAAAATTTGGGGCAAATGGCTGAAATTCCCCAAGGAAAAAAATGAGC